TTTTGGAAGGTAAACGATAAGGAAGTGAGGTACAGTACAGTCACACATCAAGTAAACATACGTATAGCATAATTTGACTGAAAATTGGAGAAAATAAAGATTAACTTTGAAAGTAGTCCAGATTTATTAAATCATTCAAGATGGAAGTGTTGTTCTATGAAATAAAAACAACCAAAAGGTAAAGCACTAACATTTGGTGACTGAAGTGTTGTTCATATGTCTCATGTTTTTGCTAACACTACCATGTTATTTGTGTCTATTGATGCAACACCTCAAGGTTCAAGTCAGAGGTCACACATCACACATCCCATTCAACGACCAGTACATTCCGTACCTACGTCGAGCGAACCTTTTGGCGTTCGTCACCATGGCGCAGCGGCCGATGCCTCTATACAACGCTGCGGCTTTGACGGCCCTTGTGGACCAATGGCGCTTGGAGAATCACATGTTCCACCTACCCACCGGGGAGTTGATGGTCACACTGGAGGACGTCGCCATGATCCTGGGTCTTCCTATGCGGGGCTAGGCAGTCACAGGTGACATAAGCTCAAGGAACTGGAGGCAGCGGGTGGAGGAGTACCTCGGTGTGGAGCCTCCAGTGGCACCAAATGGTCAGAGGCTGACGAAGACCTCCGGTGTGCCACTTAGTTGGCTGCGTGCCAACTTCTCCCTGTGTCCCGCCGATGCTGACGACGACACGTTGCAGCGTTACTGCAGAGCGTACGCGTTATACATATTTGGCAGTATTTTGTTCCCTAACTCGGGTGGAGATATGGCTTCCTGAATGTGGCTGCCTTTACTAGAGGACTGGGACGAGGCGGGTACTTTCAGTTGGGGGTCTGCTGCCCTAGCCTGGCTCTACAGGCAACTGTGCAACGCCTACCGACAAACGAGCGCCGATGCCAATATTGCTGGATGTGTTTGGCTGCTACATTGCAGGGTTGACAGTCGGAAGAACAAGAAGGTGACTGATTGGGCTTACTACCATCAAGATCATATCACGCATTGGGAGAAACTTGAAGCGAACGTAGTACCAGACCACGGGGAGCACAACAAGATGGAGTTCGATGCGTACTTGGCCTGGCTCCACAGGAACTATCATCTTGTCCTACGTCCGGCCTGGATGCTAGCCGACATAGCGGAAGACCCCGAAGATGTCGAGGAGCAGAACGAGTACAACACACGTACCCGTGAAGGTGGCATGGTTGAGTCGGGACCTATTCGCAATAGAGTGGTGAGTACTAGCACGCGTATGTAATATGCACGCTCCTGCTTTAACCTTGCGACTTACTGTATTTGTAACCTACAGGCACGAGAGCTCTTGCGGATCGTCAACGACGCGGGAGTGGCGCTTGGCATGGCTCCTAGGTCGGAAGGAGAGAGCAGCACCCTACGCAACACCCAATAGGTACTCGTTTAGTAAGACATGAAACTATGCCGGTTTTCTCCAAGGCGCTAACTGAACAATTTGGTTGCAGAGACTACAGCAACGATGTCGGAAGTTGGCAGCACGGCTGGAATGTAGGTCCAACGATGCCGTCGATCAACCTCCGGGCCACCAAAAGGGGGAGGAACAAGCTGAAGTACACGTGGAGGCGGATGAAGAACAAGAGGGGGATGATGAGGAGGCGGACGAAGAAGAGGAAGCGGAGGAAGAAGAGGAAGTGGAGAAGAAGAGGAGGCAGTTGAGCTCGGTGCCTCGCAGCTGGAGGATGCACCGCAATCGTTACAGGCCGGTCCATCGCAAACCGGGTTGTCTCGACCACTACGCAGGCGGGCTCCTTCCCAGGACTGGTGGTACACTCCCGGTGCGCCTCGTCCTCGCACTAGGGGTAGGAAGAGGTAAGACTTCCTGGATGGATGGACTGGCTGAGGAGTAGATGTGTATATACTTCCTGGATAGATGTGTATGGACTACGGCTTTTGTTTTGTGACTATGGACTTCATGGAGTGATGGACTAGATGATGGATGGTTTCATGGCCTATGTACTTGTAGGAAAATTGATGGTTTAATGGATGGATGGAATGTTGGATTTATGCATTTTCTGGATGGATTTATGCATCATGGCTTTGATGGATGGAATGGATGTAATTTATGCATTTCTGGATGCATGGAATAAATTGATTGATTGATGGACGAATAGTGGATTGTCTGTGATTGCCTGTGAAATAGTGTAATGGATGGAATGGATGAATAGTGTATTTTTGCCTATGAAATATTGTTGTCTGGGCAGAGAGCTGGTTGTTTCTGGAATTTTGCAATCTTAGCGCCAGACTACTTGGCGCTGAGATGTCCAACGTCAGCACCAAATACATTGGCGCTAACATCTGGATGGGCTGAGGAGTAGCTTTGCCGCCTTGGCTAAGTCCAACCTTGGCGCCAACCACTTTGGCGCTGAGGTTGTACATCTCAGCACCAAGGCGCTTGGTGCTGACTTCCCTGCCACGTCGGCAGGGGGATTACCTCGGCCGCCACGTTGGCACGTGGTCAGCGCCAGGCCCATTGGCGCTTCAATGCACAACCTCAGCGCCAACGGGCTTGGCGCTGAGCCGACGACCTATTTTTGGTTGAAGTTTTTGGTAGGGGCTAGTTTCGAAATAAGTTTTTCAAAAGGGTCAATTCGTCAAAAAAGGGGATTTTACGAGTGCTAATAAATACTATGTTTGCATGTTGGGCTTTAGATGTTCAGTGGACATTAACTTTACAAAAAAGAAGAGATTACATGTACTCTGCCCATTACTTATATAGATTGTGCAGATAACCGTTGTATGATGATTAATTATTAAGACTGCGTTCGGGAGGCAAGGTTGGGGAAAACAAAGCACACGATTATATTGTGATTAATTAAGTATTAGCCTAAAAAACTTGAAAAATAGATTAATATGATTTTTTAAAAGCAACTTTCATATAGAGAAACTTTTGCAAAAAATGCTTCGTTTAGCAATTTGAAAAGCGTGCGCACGAAAAACGAGGAAAGTGTGTTGGGAAAGAGGGGAAAAGAACACAGCCTAAGAGCAAGTATAATAGTGAGCTATAAGTCTACTATAAGCTTATGTGGAGGAGAGAGGTAATAAAAAATAACACAAGCTCCAAGACAAATACATTAAATGTATAAGTGAGAGATAGAGAGAGGAGAAGAAAATTATAGCCAACCTTATAGCTAATCTAGTATATATGTTGGCTTTAAGATGGGCTAATAGTAGAAAGTGAGCTCTAAGCAAGCTATATGCTAATGTGGAAGAGAGAGATAAAAAAAATGGATAGTGTTAGCTCTCCTGCAAGAGCTAGCTCTACACAAGCTCCAAGAAATATGCATTTCTGTGGGTCTAGTCGTTTTTGTCACAGGCTTTTTGTGTCTTCTGTGTATGGTTTTGCCTGTTTCCCTTTAGCAAATTGTGCAGTTGTCTAGTTTTTGGACCCGGTTTTCCTTATAAACAGGGTCAACTCTCTTCTTCTAATATATCCGGTAGATCTCCTACCATCTAATGTTTCAAAAAAAAAAGAAATGTGCATTAAATTCATAGAGTGAGAAAGAGAGAGAATGGAAAAAAATAAAGCTAACCTTATAGCTAACTTATACATGTTAGTACTACGTAAGTAGTGAGCTCTACTATTTAAACTTGCTCTAAGAGCAAGTTTAATAGTATAGCCAACTACTAGCTCCAATTCATCTATAGGCAATCTAATAGCTTATTCATACAATAGTTACATACTACACTATTAATATCTGGTCCCACCTTTCATACACAATGCGTCTTGGAGTCCGTGCTATAGTTGGCTACAAATCTGTAGTCCACTGCTCTTCTCTCACCTCATTTATCTCCTTAAAATATGTTTGCCGCTGGCTTATAGGCTGCTATTTTACCTGCTCTAAGTGTTTTTTATTGGATTCAGTTTCCAGAACTAGCAGTTCAAATATTTTCTTAGAGCAAGTTTAATAGTCCAGCCAACTGCTGGCTCCAAAGCATCTATAGTCAACTTAATAGCCAATTCATATAATAGTTACTTATAAACATATATACTACACAATCAATATTTGGTCCCACCTATCATACACACATGTGTCTTGAAGTCTGTGCTGTAGCTGGCTACAAATCTGTAGCCCACTGTTTTTATTTCTTTTCTTTTATCTTCTTAAAATATCTTTATAGCTAGCTTTTAGTCTGCTATTGTAACTGCTATTACCCCTCTTAATTATTCAACCCTCCCAGAAATATGACTCATGTTGTTGTGACATTCAGTTAGTAGTTTTATCTATGAGGTCGTATAAAATCAGATGGGTTTGTAGTTAGGGTACAAATTTCGATTATTTGAACAACCAAGCATAGTAATAAAATCTTTTTATTACTCTGGCTAATCTTATGTGGTTTACTCATCTAAATATATTTTCTTTGATAATTAGGACATTTAAATTCCACAGCAACGCGCTGGATATTATCAGTTAATACTACAACAACTGCTAATTATTTACTCTAAATGTAGGGATTCTTGTTACCATGAAAAAAATTACCTGTTTCAACATTACCACCTGCGGATCAAATTAGGAGCAGAGATTATGACCTAAATACCTCTTATTAAATAGAATGTTTATGAGTGGACGTGTAGCGGAGTAAGATAAGAAAATAAATAAGATGTGATTAATGAGACAAATAGATATATATCGTTTCGCTTATTCGTGGAATAAACCAAACGACATATTCGCAAACAAAAAGTAATATGTGAATAAAACTTTTATATACATGTTCTTAGTGATTTAAAAGTAAGAATCAGCTCTAAATTTAAATTGTGGCTGATAAATACGAGTATAAGCATACAGATAGAGCTACTCCGAAAACTGATAAGTATGAGTATATGATTGAATCTGAAATTGTCCCTTATTCTAGGATGCAGGGATGTACTTTAACTAGGAGTAAAGAAAATCCCTGTTTAATTAACGCCAAACTTTCCCCAAATTCTAAACTTTTTTAAAATTATAGAGGCCTCACCAAAGTCGACAGATCCCGTAAAAGAACAAAACTTGCGCGACGCCTCCCCTTACCCCTAATCCCACTCCACCCAACGAGGAGATAGCGCAAGAGAGGAGAGGGTTTCTGCGGCGGCGATGGCGGCGGCGGCGAACCTGGAGGACGTCCCGTCCATGGATCTGATGAACGAGCTGCTACGCCGCATGAAGTGCAGCTCCAAGCCCGACAAGCGCCTCATCCTCGTAGGTCCGTACGCTTCCTCCGGCCTCCCCTCATCTAGCTTCCCTCCCTTCTCTTTCTTTCTCCTTCCACGCTCCAAGATCTGGTGAGGAAGTAGGAGATCCAACTCGTCCCCGTCCCTTCCTTGCTCTAGGCTCCGGGTGTGCAAGGCTTGGTGGTTCAGATCTTAGTCGCTTCGCCTTTTTCTGCCCCTTTTGTTTAATGCTCCATCGAAAGTCTAGTTTCCGATGTTTTCCCTTTCCTTTGCAACTGTAGTGACATGGAGAAGCCGTTGATTGTGATTCGGGTAAACCAGGTCGAAGTGCGTGTGGACTTGGTACCAAGAGTAGAACTGTTTCGCTCTTCCAGATTTCTTGCCGTTGTTTTGATGGATTATTTCGGCAATGAGTGCTTGTTTGATGGACTGATCTTCTAAAACAATCTTTTCTTTTATTAGGTAAATTGCACTAAATTCTTTTAGAATGTGTTTTCTTGCTCTACTTTTCTATGCGTATGAGGCTGAGGAAAATAACGACCTTATTATCCTGAAGAAATTCTTTATGTCATTGTGGTAGCATGGAATTTGTAGCAATTGGCTTGTTCCATGGAACTGATAAAAAATATTTTTGTATGCATTGAAGTCACAAGGGAGAAAAGTAGTATTTCTCAGTGTTGTGGAAGTCAGAATACAGTTGTCGGACGGAAAGGGTACCGTTCACCGATTAATTGGAATACGGACGATTAATCGAAATTATACGGAAATTTAACATTCGTGAATATATGTACAAATTTTACAATATTATATACTTTTTGAAGATTTAGATGTGTACAACTATATAAATCAAATATCTTCATGTTGTTTTTTAATTGAACAGATAAGTAAACATTAACTCTTCTAACACCGGATTTATATATCACATGGTGGTAGAATTGGTTGCATTAAATAAGTAATAAAACATAAAAATATATGTAACAAAATAAAAACAATTCTAAATTAAGTAAAGAAAACTTCTCTAAATCATCATCAAATTCAACGTACAGCTAAAAACGGAGTTTTAAGGTTCGTGAACGATAAATGTACACCGTATCACGTTAACGGAATGGTTTTACTACCGTTAACGTATATACGGCCGATTAATCGGTTGGTACGGCCGTTTTTCCATAACACTGGTATTTCTTTAAAAAAACATGAAATGCGTAGCTCTTTGCTTAATGTATTTGTGATTCATGACATGAGGTGAAGAGAACTCTCCTGGACCTAACTATGGTTTTATGTATCCATACTACAATTTATGCTTACTAATGAAATTCAAATATTGTATATTGTTTGTCGCTTAGTGAGTAGTGAGTTAGTGACTTCAGTGTAGATGTAAATGACAACGAAAATCTTATCTTATAGCTTTTTTGACTTGTATTCCTTTAATTTATAGACTTTCTTTTCTCTTGTTTTGGCATGACTGGGGTTGAGAAGAGTGTTCACTACAATTACTTTCAACAAGAAAGCATGCTTAGACTTTCTTCTAGATACAGTGGTAAAAATGATACATTTTGATTGTATGTTGAATCCTTCACAAAAGAATGAAAGAGAGCATTTTATGGTGAAGATATTAGGTCCTTATGATTATCTTAATTGGAGCTTGCAAAGGCCTTTTGACTGTGATGCAAGTATATGAAAGATGTAAGAATATGCAAGCTAGCTCATATATCTTGATAAAAGAGATACTCTTTTAAGAATCAATGTAGCACAAATCATACCAAAGTCAATCATTTTTCAGTTAATGTTAATAATAATCTCATGAGAAGAATGTTTTTATTGCCTTTCTAAGGGGAGTTATTCTTAGTATAAGAATTGAGCAAGAAGTGGATGATCGCCCCTCTCATTTTCATTGTTAATCTGTGTACTATGTGAAGAATTTGTTTTTTCCTAACAAACATTTAATTTCATTTAGTAAAGCATTATAGCAAATTAGCAATTGATTGCTTGTGGTAGCAACAACTGACTTTCCTTGTTGCACTTGAGTGTTGAATTTAAAACTTTAACAATCAATTTTTAGTTCTTCATTTGATCAATTTTGTTAATAACCAAACCCAAATATTAGGCTTTAAATTATTTGCACGAGGGGGTCCATTTGTTTACATCTGACTAGAAAAAATACCCGTGCGTTGCAACGGGTGAAGTCTATTTTAATCTTATTATTGTTATATGGTTTACTTAAGATGAAATTCACTGTGAGAGTTCGCTTGGATATATATATTTTTAGAAAATCATAAGCTGCAGTTAGGAGTCTGATTGTCTCAAGTTAGCATGCGAGTTTTTTTAAACAGATTTCTTATATGATTCCTTTTGTATTACCAAGAGTGAACGATCTTAAAAACCGACTCAAATACGGATATGTATTTCCAAAAGCAAACGAACTTAAAAACCGACTCATACACGGATGACGTATCAAAATACCAGCAAAAACATCTTCAATTTTTATAATAGTAGAGATAAGATGGTTGAAACCTAGACGAATAACATTATCAAATTCACCCTAGTCTATATTTTATTTCAGAAAACCTCTTTACAATTCTTGGTTTTGCTGACTATGCAGGTCCACCTGGCTCTGGAAAGGGAACACAATCGCCCATTATTAAGGATGAGTACTGCTTATGCCATTTAGCTACAGGTGATATGTTGAGAGCTGCTGTTGCTGCTAAGACTCCTTTAGGAGTCAAGGCGAAAGAAGCAATGGACAAGGTATTGCACTTGGAAATCACCCACATAAGCAGCAGATAAAAGTTAGATGGCCAAATGAATAGCCAGCCAGCTCTGAACTCCTGATTTCTCAAAGCAAAACATGTTCCATAAGTATTTTTCACTAACTTCATGTTTGTTAGGGAGAGCTTGTTTCTGATGACTTGGTTGTTGGAATTATTGATGAAGCCATGAAGAAACCTTCATGTCAAAAGGGTTTCATTCTTGATGGGTTCCCACGGACAGTTGTTCAGGCACAGAAGGTATTCGATTTGTACTTTTATTAATAGTTCAGCCAATAAAAATATTTTTCTTTAGGCAATGTAGCTATGTTTTGAACTACACTGTTTACTTTCGGGTTCATAATATTTTTCTTCTTCAGCTTGATGAAATGCTGGAAAAGAAAGGTACAAAGGTCGATAAGGTTCTTAACTTTGCCATTGATGATTCAATTTTGGAAGAAAGAATTACTGGCCGGTGGATCCATCCCTCCAGTGGCAGGAGTTATCACACTAAGTTTGCACCTCCAAAGGTTCCTGGAGTTGATGATGTAAGTTGAATACAGAAATATGGACTTAATAATTATTATACTTTCCAAATTTATTTTATTTTGCGTGGATTTTTGGTTCAGCAATTTAATTGTTGGATATTTTTTCCTATATATCTTGTACAATTCTTTAGACGGTCTTCATAAAATTATGTCACGGTGTTTAACCTATGTGATATTTATGTCATGGTGTCTTATCTACATAACTATATTATATAATTCTATACATCAACAACTTTGTAAAGTATTCAATATTGCATTATCACATATTAGTTTGCCAAACATCTGTTATAACTGCATTGATAATGATACAAGTTGCATAAGGATTTCTGTTAGTTCATTATTTCCTTTATCAAGTTTTTTTTTGTTTCTTAATCCATTTAGTGACATATTTTGTGTGGACCTTGTATCCCTTTTGAGTCTGCATAGTTGTAGATATTTTGCTTCCTTGCAACAAATATTTTTCCAGTTAATAAAGGAACTAATAGTATATAAATAATTTATTCATCCAGTTTACTATTTTCTTTGTATTGCATCAACGTTTCTTCTGCGGTACTGTTTCTTTCACTGCCCTTTTTCTATTTAAGAAAACTGCTATAAAATGTTGACTGATGCTTTCATTTGTCTTATTCGCCTAGGTCACTGGAGAACCACTAATTCAAAGGAAAGACGACACAGCTGAGGTTTTGAAGTCTAGACTTGAAGCCTTCCACAAACAAACTGAACCAGTATGGTGCTCTTTCTAGTGAATTATAATGTTTTAAAGTATTTAGGAAAAGTTGGTTGTTTTTTTAGGCATTATGACACGTGTAGCTATTTACAGTTCTTGAGAGTGTCTGCCTAGTTATATCGTTCTGACCGTACGGTTCCCATTTGACATCTTCTGGATTCTTTTCTCATGTGTTCTATGATTGCATATCCTTTGATAGCCAAGACTTCGGGAGGGTTTCATCTTGTTCTCTAAAATATTGCTGCTTGTGAAGATTCAGTATTTTTTACTTCAATGTTGATTTGCTCCCACCAGGTGATTGACTACTACTCCAAGAAGGCCTTGGTGGCCAATCTTCATGCCGAGAAGCCACCGAAAGAAGTAACTGCTGAAGTCCAGAAAGTTCTTTCGTAAATGTACCACCATTTTGAGACGAAAATTCGACAGATTACCCAGACACACTGGGTCCGGCTTTTAGATGTTCAAATTGACGCTGACATGCAAGGTGTAGACTGCTCTCTTTTTGTATTGGGTACTCTTATCAGATTTGATGAGCACAGTGCTTTGCGTTGTTTTAGTTCTAATAATCTCTATGGCATTGATGGAAGGAACATTTTTTTGTACCAATATCACAGGGTTCTTTCACCCTTGAGAGTTCCCAAAAAAGCTTTGCTTATGATTATGTGCTGTTAGTGTGTTCCTATAGTACAACATTGCGTTACGCTAGAGAATTTTCCGCTCCCAATTTGCATTGCCATAATCAAGTTTCTTCGCTGCAATTGTGTGGTTATTTGCATGTTTGAATTATTATCAATGGCAATGACTCCATTATGTTACAAGATCTGGACTCACATTTAAGTATAGAATCCTATATCCTATATATCATAGGTGGTTCCCCACTAAGTGCAATCTTATAAACCGATTCCAAGGTTAGAACCCTGATTCTTGATCCCCAGTGGGGGGGCCCTAATGAGCGTCTCATCGTGTGGGGGCGTGGGTGCATGACTAGCTCGCTCCAACTACTACTACAACAACAGTACTACTATATGTATATATACGGGGGCGTGGGTGCATGACTAGCTCGCTCCAACTACTACAACAACAGTACTATTATATGTATATATACGGCAGATCCTTTAACTTAACTGCACATACAGTTGAGTCACTGACATGTGGGTCCCACTTTGCCATGGCCCATATGTCAGTGACTCAACTGCACAACAGTTAAGTTAGAGGATGATATATACGTATGTACATACTTTATATACACAACTTTGTTATGGAATAGGTTATAGACTTAATAAATTCGTCTCGCGAATTAGTCCAAGGTTATGGAATGGGTTATAGGCTCAATAAATGTCTCGCAGGGTTATGAAATGTGTTTTGGAAATGGGTTTTGTCAGTAGTCTACGTTTAATACTTCTAATTAGTGTCAAACATCCGATGTGACAGGTGCTACAAATTTTTAGCCCCATCCGAACATCCCCTTACGTTATCAAACACCTTTCAGAGTTTCAGTCTAGAATCATGATTTATGAAATTTCTCTTTCAATGGCCACAAGTGATCAAAAAGTTTTAATGGCCTTGGGATATCTAGCAACTTCCTCTTCCAATGGCCACAAGTGATAAAAAAGTTTAAGTGGCCTTGGGATATCTAGCAACTTCCTTGCCATTCCATCAAATGACTGATATTTATTCTCCTTTTTTTTAAAACCAATCGTATGGCCATTATTTATGGCATGACGTGACTCTTTCTTTTTTCATTCTTTGATTTCTCTTCCTTTCATTCTCGATGCGCCAATTGAGTTTTTATTGAGATCACCTCACGAACCACTTCCAGCGCTAAGCCAATCGCTGGTGAGGCTCGGGAGTTATCTCCAATTCTGTTAAGATTGATTTTACCGATCACAAAAACAACCTTATCTCTTAATTTGATTTCTGTTAGGAACCGGATAAGTGGGATTTATCCTTTTCCTTAACAAACAGAAATTAGCCTAAAAAATCAACTGCATCAAAATTGTGTAATTTACGTGTTGTAATAGTGACATAATTCAGCAGTAAGTGTGTAGGAGTGTCATGGTGTTTCTGGATAATTATGCAGAAGATCAGAGGGGAAAACAATCCGTTAGGCTCAATAAAAAGTTTCAAGTTTCAATGCCTTTGCCGCACAAGACAAAGAGGGCTTACATAGGGTCAATCCATCAGAAATTGATATCAGGAACTGATTTCCCTGTTCAAATAGTCCACAAACATCCTCGTTGCGCTATCAGCATCTGCTGGTGGGGGAGGTCCACTCAAGCTGTACTGCCCTGCCAGCTTAATGAAAGTGCGTCGCAGGCTTCGAAGCTCAGGCAGACCGACTGATCTTTGAAGACATATGTAACAACCAGTTAAGGATATAATGGTTCTTTGCTTATACTCCCTCCATCCCAAAAAAACAAAAAAAAGACAAACCCTGAGTTTCCGTGTCCAACGTTTGGCTGTCCATCTTATATGAAATTTTTTTTATAATTAGTATTTTCATTGTTGTTAGATGATAAAACATGATTAATACTTTATACGTGACTTGTTTTTTTAATTTTTTTCATAATTTTTTCAAATAAGACGGACGGTCAAACGTTGGACACGGAAACCTAGTGTTTGTCTTTCTTTGGGACGGAGGGAGTACAACGGATAGAAGGTGCCCCTACCTTTGAAGCTTACATATCAAGGCTTCCTCGTAGCATAAAAGTGTGGCCAATTATTATTCAATGTGCAAAACTACCATTTTGGAAGTATTTTCACCTACTTGATTTTCAAACAGTTGCAAGGTGAAAGAAATGTGGATAAAGCTCTATATGAAAGGGTGTTTTTGTATCAGAAGATTATTTTACACTAGCCAGTTAAGATTGCTAGATCTTCATATACTGCACTTATAATATATAAAAAAGAATCAATTGACACACAAAGCTTAAGAGTATATTGTTTAAACTTATATGTATACAGGATAAAAGAATTGGCTCAAACAGTAAAGGATATAGTTGGTAGGTCAGGACCAAGAGAAATCTTATTCACGGGAAGCCCAAGACCACAAGATTGTGCTTCAACAATTGCATTGATCACCTCCTGCAAATCAGCTCAAAAGGTATGCTGACTAAAGAGAAATCCATAATTGAAATATCAGATATCAACCAAAATGACTGTCATTACCTGCGTTGCTTTGTCCATCTCGTAAAGGGAATTAGCTTCTGTTGTCCGAGCCTAAAATATCACCAAGGCTGTGTTTAGTTCAGCGCAAAGTTTGGATTTTGGTTGAAATTGGAGATGATGTGACTGAAAAGTTGTGTGTACGACAGGTTGATGTGATGGAAAAGGACTGAAGTTTGGATCCAAACTTTGGATCTAAACACAACCCAAATCAGGATTCAATTCCAACAGCTACAGGTACAAGCATAAATGCAATAGCACTACACTTCCAGCATCATAAAGAGAGTACAGTATCTGCAGAAAGTGACTAAGGCATTGATTCTTCTGATTTTTTGTGCATTTACACCATCACATTTAGATTTTGACAGAAATTGTTTGCCAGGGGTACAAAGAGCTAATACACAAAAAAGATAGGAACTAAGCTGTAAGAGTATATGGTAGTTAGAGTCGTATTAGGATAGGATTGATTTGTGTGGACTCCTTCCATATCTGTAATCCTTCCTTGTCTCCTCCCTATACTATCCAACATAAGCATATTCATTGAAGAACATATGGAGTTAAGACTCCATATCACAATACCAAGCCAAATTATGAGAGAATGGAATAATTTGGAAAATGAATTATTTGGGGATTATATGATCACGCGGCAGTTTTTCAAGAATAGATTGCACTTACAGTCTGAGTGGCTATTGTAGGTTGGAGAACTTTCACATCTCTTGTCTTAGAGTCCACTTTCTTAGTCAAATATGATACAGCCTCAGCAATAACAGGAGACGATTCCATTACTCCATCTATTCAAAATAGTACAAAATCAGTTTTGAGTTTTGACATTGCATAAGGCAATATGCATATCTATGGTAGGTACTGATATAGATATACTGATTACCTCTAGATGGAAACAATTCAAAAAGAGGAGAATCCCAACGATTGCGCCTATCTGGCTTCTCAAATCTACTTACCAGATCATCGAATCTGTCACAATAGAAAAAACTGGTGAGCGGACAATAGTACCTGGTTATGTATTGTATTAAATGCCAGGGACACATGCTTTGTTATATTCCCAAGGAGGCAAAAATAACAATGGATTTCATAGCCTATAAAGAATGCCAAGAAGCACCAAAAATTTGAATCAGACGTGACAAACTAGCAGCACGTTCCGTAGGGCCAATATTATCAGTTCAGTTTGTTGCATTAGTTTAGATTCTTTTGTCATCATATTAAATTGGTGTTAGGAGTTGGATTAGTAAGGATCAGTGAGTAATGAATGGGGAAAGCAAGGATTATCAATTTATTCACCCATTCCTACCTTTCCCTTCTATCCCCTGCAACCCTTCCCCCACAATACTCTTCTTCTGCTCTAACCTGCCAAAGCCTCCCTCCTTCCATGATTACCCAATATGATCTCTAGACCATAATACAACTACATGCAACATATCTGTAGTTTGTGGAATCAATCTATAGAACTAAATAAAAAAAACTGAGAAATCATGCAGCATTTCCTCATTTGAATTTAATAGGTCAAGAAGATCCAAAAAATATGAAATCTCTCACATACATATTATTATCATACGTGGGTTCTCCTTTCTCCTGACGCTTGGTGTTCCATTCCCTACAATGGTCCACTTCTGTATCACAGAAAAGCTGAAATAAAATAGAAGCAGGAAGTTATCAGTCTGTTATATGAGTTTTCACTATATCAAATGGTGTAAAAATCATAGTAAATTGCGTATTGGACCACCTTTCTATCATAGCAGTGTTTTTTTTCACCTTGGGATAGCAATTTTTACAAAATGTTGCACTTAAGACCTACCTATCTAACCTTCAGGTCAAGATTCACATGCTTGATCATAGTTGGTACTGGTGGAGATGGAGCTCAAGCTCCGCTAGCTTGGGACATGCTCGAGGTCGACCTCAACCTTCGTTACCCTGCCCCATGCATCCGTGCTCAAGACTCATTGTGCAGTGTTGGTTATGTGCCCCAGCCCCCAATCAAGCTGGTGCAGCCGCGGATGAGGAACTTGGGCTAGCATAGACTCCATTTGACTAGCTGTTGGTGGGGCAGAAGTGTGGAGAGATGAGATCCATATGGAGTTAGAATATCCCACCATGATTCATTAGCTATGCATGCGCTTGAACTCAAACTAGAGCTCTGCCGTGCCGCATCGAGCTCAAGCTGGAGACCGCCAGTGCTGCACTCAAGCTCAGGCGCTAACGTAGGTCAAGAACGTGGGTGGGGCCTGTTCATTGGCGTGGTGAGCTTGAACCAAAAAAGGGGAGAGAGAAGAGAAGAGGGGGAGAGCCAGAGGAAGAAGACCGGTTCAATGTGAAAAAAATTGCAAAGATTTCTGGTCCAAAGTGAAAACAATGCCCTACCTATCTAGTCCAAGTTGCAACAATGGTTAAAAAGAGTGGCCCAATATGCGCTTATTCCAGGCACACACACACACACAGAAAATAAGAAAAAAAGAGTCCATGCAGGACTGCTAACATGATTCTCAGTTGCAAATAAGCAGATTCTCAGGCACATGAATTGCCTTTTTGAGGGATTTTTGAGAGAGAGAGAGAGAGAGAGAGCTCTTAATCTTGGGCTTGATGCCAGGAGAGGATTAGTCACGCTACCGCAACCACCTAAGATAACTGTCCGGACGAAACATGCCTCCAGGACTCTTATCCAATACTTGATCATCAGGGCAACTCAACTAATCCTAGAAAAACATCTCCAAACCAAACTTATCTCTAGTCCATAACTCAATTACAGCCTGTTGTGCACAGCCAGTGAAGCAGCTGCCAGTAGGACTCATGTCCATGACAAATTTACCGTGTGTCTGAGTATCGAAGGAAGTAAGACCGAGGATGCAAAGAATCCAAGTGAGATCAATAAAGTAGTGGATGCCAACAGATCAAAACAAGATATGTGGCAATTCCTTCCGTACACTTTACTACTCCCTCCATTTTATTATATTATATAAGTCGTTTTCACTTTTTTCACCCTGCCCCATGCAAGTTTTGGAGGAAATTTAACATGAGGTAGAACCTCATGGAAAAAATCCTTTAGTCTTTATCTCTCCTCGAATTCATGTGTTTTTCCTGCAGCCCAATCAAACAATCATTCCTATGTTTTTCTATGTTTTGCAATCCTCTGTTTTACATTTCCATTCATGTCAGAATCCTATGCTTTTCTTATTCCTCCGTTTTTTTCATTCCTATGATTCAAAGAGGCCTTTATAATATGAATGGAGGAAGTATCTTATTTCTCTGTAAAGCTTATTTTACTTTGTTTCTCAACTGTCATTCTAATTTGTGGGTCTTAACCAGATCAAGATTATCACACATTATTTACAAATTAATATTGAGTTAGTTCTCTTGTTATTGCCATCAATGTTATTTGATCGCTGATTGATCCTGATCACCAAGGGACCGACCAGGAAAATTAATCGTCGATCAGCCTCGATTAGTCGACCTGATCAGTACTATGAATACTAGAACCTATATTCTATATAGTGCATAGTATAAAGCAATCACAGCACTAATAATTGATGGCAAGATGGTCACTTGCCCTAGTATAAAGCAACCAGCAGTAGTAGCACATATTCACATGTGCTAAACCCTAAGAATTGTTCAAAAGGTGATCGATAGGTGCTCTGATCGGACAATTAATTGTGCCTGATCGACGATTAATTGGACCAACAATTTATGATCGAGTGAATGTCCCTGATCGGAGTAGTCAGGAGACTGATCAGGATGATTAAGCACGATTAATCGGACGATCAGATAACATTGATTGCCATCATACATGATCTTTTTCCTCCAAATTGGTTTTGTACCTAACTTGTAGTGTTAACTAAAATCCATACCTTGATGACACGTGATTTTTAACGCTATGCTAGTCTTTGAGTAAAACTAATATTTAAAAATCTAAAAGAATAGAAGTAGACAAACAAGGCAGCAAGCAGGTTACCACACAGTATCTTATTCCAGATGCCCGTGCAAGACACCACAACTCATACCGGTATCCCTGCATATTATAGGTGGAATTGATTATATCAAAATATGGCAACACATGCACACTAATATCTCAAAATCATGTTTCATTTGAAGCATCATGCGTTAACAATATGCCAACAAATCACAGAATTTACTACATATTACAATTTTCATGAGAATTCGCAAAGCATGTAGCTGTTTATTAGTAACGATAGAACTGACAACAGAAAGCAACACATATTTACAAACTAGATTGCCACTTAACTGATTCATGAAATACCCATATTGAAATAACTTGTTGGTTGGAAAGCAAACTTTGCCAGTTACATATTTTTGGTATTGTTCAACATTGGCTTGCGCCTAACTTTTGCAATAACTAAGTTCAGCCAAGTATGTCTTGACATACTATTTGTGGCCACATTGGAAGTGAGGCAAATTATATAGGAACTTCTCAAGATCTCATTGGTGACGCTTGAGCTTCAAGCAGAAAGATCAATAAAAATGCACTCATCACGTCCTCTACATGGCTTCAGCTTGCATTCATTTGCTACCCTAACTATGACTACAATCATACTTGGCAAATATTTCTTATTTTTCCAACTTAACGTGCTAAAAACCATCCCACTTAGGCTTTGTTCAGTTAATTTTTGTGCCAAAGAAATCCGCAAAGTCACCAGAAATGATATCGTGCTTGAAAACCATCCCACTTAGGCCTTGTTCGGTTAATCCCCATGAGGGAGGGATTGGANGAACNAGGCCTAAGTGGGATGGTTTTCAAGCACGATATCATTTCTGGTGACTTTGCGGATTTCTTTGGCACAAAAATTAACTGAACAAAGCCTAAGTGGGATGGTTTTTAGCACGT